CGCACTGTCGTCCTCAAAGCTTACATTGTGTTAAATGACAATGTTTGGTTATCAGACTCTCGCAATTTAAGTTCAAATGCGTTCAATTGAATCCTGCTACCTTGGATATTGTTCGATTGCTAACGGTACCGAATTTTATACTTTCACTGGTATATACCAGTTCTAACAGACAATAACTATGTGCATTTGGCGTATATAGCCATAGGACCCTCCGGTTTAATGACATTTCTAGAGCCCCAGTTTCTCACGACGTAGCCAACATTTTAAACGCTAATTATCGGTGGAATGGGCTCATTTTTATGAACGAGGGAGATAAACAGATAAGTTGGAGTATTTACAGAGAAATCTTCATCAGTCTTAGCTGGTTTTCATGCACGCCCTCTGTCCTGGTCGAATTGGAATTTGGAGATCTTGGTTTCTGTGGAGGGAGGAAAACCGGAGAACCCGGAGAAAAACTTCCCTCGGAGCAAGGCGAGAACCAACAACAAACTCAACCCACATATGGCACCTGGCCAGAATCCTAGACCCGGATCACCTTGCTGGGAGGCGAGCGCTCTTGCCACTGCGCCACCCCTGCTCCTTTTGGAACCCAATACTAGGATGAGTGAAAAACACGTCAATGAAAACTAGGCGTTTGTGCTAGAACTGCGCATTCTCGTCAAGGTTCCATCGCGTGGTTCCATTCCAGAGTTTTGCGCCAGCTCAGTCTGAAACGCCTTTGATATTGTATCAACCTTTTTCTCTTCGTCTTCTTCTACTTCCGAGGTCTGTGGGTGAACTTTAGACTTTCTCCAGTTGATGAAAATCATTATTACTGGTATCAGGAAAGCAGCAAACAGTACTCCTCCCGTCATGTAGAATGCGTAGATATAGCTCCCTGTGTGGTCCGCTATCAAGGCTGAAGAAAGGAAGCAAGAAAGAAATGAGCTTGAAAGATCCCTAAAAGGTAGGATTCTTTTCTCAGAGTTTTACTGAGTTTCTACTGTGGTTTTCCACCATATCTTATTGATTATTCCTGGATTTCTAAAAAAGATCTGACCGAAAAGTATTTCCCTTCGAGTTGGTTTCAATGTCAAGGCAGTTTTCTCTGGAGTCTCTAAAAGTAGTTGGTCTCACATTAGTACGTTACAAGATACGAGTGACTCGTTCTCACGCTTTTTCCCGCGTTGGTATTTCCCGTTTTCCCGTGTTGGTATTGGCAAGTATTCAGTGGACAAGGTCACTGTCCCGAACACATACATACATACGTTTATTTGATAAATAGGTTTAATGATCCCGATGAATGATCCCGCGCGATCACTCTCAGTGGAAGTTGTCTGCAATATTATCACTTTCTTATGTAAAAGAATTGTTAGTAACCTACCCGTATAAAAGATCAGTTTTCTTTCTTTTTCAACATTTCTTAGTTTTTTCTTTGTTGAATACAGACGTGAGTTAACGTGAGTGTGACGTTTACAGTGTCTTTCCAGTCCGTGATCGTGGAACATTTTCTAAAACATTTTCAGTCATGCAACAAATCTCTTATTAATACACTGAACAAGTTGGCACAACTTAAATCCAAAACGTTCTTAAATGAATGGTGCTTATGCCCCTCCCCTGTCGCGTTGATTTTCAGCAGACCAAAGCAACATTGAATTGGGGTTAGGAAGGAGGAGGAGGAGGATGGGGAGGGGGGTGGGGGTGCGACATCGATGTGGTTTGACTACATCGCATTATCATATTTCTCAGTTGCTACGTCTATCATGATCGGTCAATTACTATCACAAGATCGTCTTGTAATCACGATCGCCAAGTTTCATGAAATTCATCTAGAGGGTTATAGTTCATGGCCATACTAGAAGAGCTAAATGGTCTTTTTGTCTTTTTGTACCCGACACACTGCACTCAAAACGTACTGTACTTCTGGTCAAGACCTCAGGCCTGTGCTCCCCATGGACAGTTTTCGCGCTCGGTTTGAAGTAACATTATTAACTCACCAGCAACTGGTCCACCGGCGGCAGCAGAAAGCGCATATAACACATTGTTGATGCAGAAAGCGGCCGTGGTTCTCTTGCTGTCCACAACCGTCAGTAGAATAAAATTCAGAGTTGTTATGAAAATACCATCGCTGAATCCATAAATGACACTGAAAACGATAAGGCTCCAGTATTTTGTGGTGAAGGGCAGCATAAAGGCGGCGAGACCAGCTGTTACCATGCATGATTGATAAACGTACACTGGATTAACTCTTTTGTTGTTACACAGTCTTCCCGTCATTATTCGCGCGACACATGAGGCAAGGCCGATAAAAATGAACAGCCGAGAAGCTTTCTGCGCAGAGATTCCAATATCTTCACAGTACTTGACCTAGAAAAAATTAACAATAACCTCTTAAGAAATTTCTTATATAACAAAGTTTGGAAAGTGGTCTTAAGTAAACGGACACACTTTTCTCGTGCCCTCAGTCCAGTGTCCGAAAGTTTGACGGCCAAAAACGGCCATAAATTCGAAGTTGATTTAACAGCACAGAAATCTGTGTGGTGTCCCATTCGCGGTCCCAGAGATTTCGGTTTCTTTTTCATGCGCAAAAAGAGCTCCAGGTTAGGAAACGTATATTACCTTGCTGTTTGTTACATGACACTAAGGAGCCGGAAACTCTAGCGAATTTGTTTTCGAAGCAGTCGTTCTCCTACACCATGTATGCATACATACAGTTTCTTGTAAAAGCGAGGCAAAGTGTAGCATGACCGTGGCTTAAAAAAAAAAAATATTTAACCCACATTTAACAATTAGATTTTGAGTTCGAGATTTCTACCATGCATAAAAATCGAAAGCGAATAACCTAATTATTTTAGGGTAAACTCGTCCTAACTGACAATAACAAGCTATTTGAAATTAACATACCAGGTTGATGTAAGGAATATACATCCCAAAACTGGCAAACGTGAGCGACGTCACAACAACGGTGTAAGCAGGAAAGCTCCACACACTGCAGTAAAGAGAGATGCCTGTCTTGTCAACTATTACTTCCTCTTTGTTGTTCTTTTCAGTGTTTAAGTTCTCCACTGTTGTTATTTCTTCTACATATGGATTGAAATTCAGACTCAAAATACACACAAGGGCATACGTTGCTGCCATTATTCTGAAAGTGTTTCTCCATTCGAACGAGTCTAAGAGGACTTGGAGCAAAGGTCCGCTGTAGAGGACTCCTACACTCGCGCCCAACGAAACAACGCCAGTAGCTACGGACAACTTCTCTGTAAAATAATTAGCAATTACAAGAAAGCAAGGATTGTATATAAAGCAAGTTCCTAAACCGTACAAGGCGCTGTACGTGAAGTACATCACTGTGAAGCTCTGGACGAATGAAGTCGACACCAGACCCGCAATGCACAGCGTGCCTCCCAAGAAACATGTGATGCGGCAACCAAAGCGATCGCACAGATAGCCTGCCAGCGGACTTGCAAACCATACCATGCCCAGACCGATTGAGCCGCCAAGAGCTGAAAATAAAAACATTTTTCAATCAATGACAGTTATTTTTCAACTTCAATTACTCATCGATAATTTCTTTTCGCGGGAACCTTAGTTTGCGAGAAAATAGGAGCGCTACATTTTGCTTGCCAAAAATTTCGCCATTTGGCGACATTTGCGATAAAGCGAAATAAGAGGGCAATAAGAAACGGTTAGTTTCAGAGTCGATGTTACAGGTCGACAGAACTAGAGAAAAACGAAACAAAGAAATGCATAACATAGAACAAGAGAGTGACATGTTCGGTTGAGACGAAATGGACATAGAACAATGTTTAGTATACAGTTCGGCATTTTAGCATGTTCCTCTCTCTGCTGTGTTATGAGTAAAAGAGGTTAATGAAAGGGTTTTACAGCAGGGTTTCAAACTTTGGTGTTCACGTTAATTACACAGAGTGTACTGTAGAGTTCACTTGCATCCCCTCAAAACAAAGTGTATGTATTTTCGAGGGGCAAAGCTCAACACTGCTTTTCGAGTAAATTTTCCTGATCAGTGTAGTCTAAAATCAAACCCGTCCTCGGCTGAATGTATGGCCCCCTAATTTGAACCTGTCAATGTTCCTACAAGTAAATGAACAGCAGTTTTTCGTTTTTAACTTGAAAATATTTATTATTTCACTCCTTCACTCCTTCACTCCTTCACTCCTTCACTCCTTCACTCCTGCACTCCTGCAATCCTGCACTCCTGCACTCCTGCACTCCTGCACTCCTGCACTCCTGCACTCCTGCACTCCTGCACTCCTGC